CGGCACGGGGCCGCCCGCCCTCTCCCTCCTTCCCTCGCCCCGCCCGGGTCGCGTGAGGCGGCGTGGCGTCGTCGGGAGTCTCGTCCCGTCATAATCTCTGTTTCCCATTTTCCCCTCCTTTTCCTGAGGTAACTTCCCTACGCTTGTGAATGAAAATTAAGGAAAAGAAAAATCCTCTCTAAAATTGGTCTGACGGAGCTTTCCTCTTGCTTTAAGTTTTGTGTTTATTTTATTTTTTTAATTCTACAGGGCACCTCAAAATTATATAGAGTAATTTGGGTATTGTCTCTAGCTATACTTTGGTTATAATACTTTACTGTTTTTCAAAGATGCTCTGATTACAAGTGCAGTATGAAATACGTTATGCCACTTGACCTTTGCCAGTGTTTTCTCTGGAGCTTGTCTTTGGGTTTGTGAGGAACCCGTTTCCCACCAACATGAAAATCATCGCAATCCTGATTGGGGTTGAAAGCCTCTGGAAAAAAAAAAAAGTTTCCTCCTTTCCTTTTACCCACTGCCTCACTGTGGAGGAGGGAGCACCTGGCCAGCTCACAGAGAGGAAGAAGGATTTCCCCAGGCGTGGAGGTCCCTTCAAGCAGAAAGGGTAATGAATTAGGCAGAGGGGGGAGTGAGAAGGAAAAGAGCAGAGAGTTAATGCAGAGGCTTTATTTTAAAACAGCTCTGTCAATTTTTATATGTGTCTAAGCATGTTTAATGAAACTCATTGCTGAAAAATTAGTTAAAATGTTGCCTCAGTAGGCCTGAGGCAAAATATATTTTTGATATGATAAATTTACTAGTTGCTTAGGAAAAGATATATATAATCTTGTTTCATAAGCAGAAGCATCTAATCTGTGACGTTTAGTCTTGTTAAAGACTTTGGCAGAAATCCAGTTACATCAGGAGCACATTTAACTGTAAGTCTTAATTTAGCTGAGAGATAAGTTTTTATTCATGGAAAGGTACCACTGTCCACTTTCTCCAGGTGGTTAAACCAGAAATGTTACTCAAATATTTAAAAGCTTATATTCTAATAAAACAAGAAATAAATTTTATACACAGACTTAAACATAAAAAACTATGGCAGTAAAAGGCAATACAGAATAAATTTGTGTTGTTAGCACTGTATTGCAGTTGAGGTTTCGCATGTAGATTAAAAACACTTTTATTTAAATGTAAATTTAAAGCACTTTTAAGAAACAGATTAAAATACTAAAATGCATTTACAAATGAGACTTGGCTTAAAATAGAGAAACGCATGCTGAAGAACCACTTTAGACATGACCTAACATAAATGAGAAATGACAGCTGTTGGTATGTCTTTCATGTAATTTTGTTGCTGTGTTTTAACTACATCTATCTTTCTAACTAATGGAAACTGAGGAAAGTTTACATCAAAAACAGCAGGGATGTGGTTGGGAAAGGCCAGTACCTCAGCTGCCTCCCTGTCTTGTGACCTGGTGAGTATGTAGGCAACAAATTAATGCATTTTCTGTATTTATCTGATAAACCCTGAGTAATGCTTTGCATGTAACTTGAAAACTGTTATTTTACACTTGAGTTACTAAATAGGATTTATGAGAATACTTCTGTTTAAAGTGAAGTCTTCATTGCAAAATCCATGCCAAATATCAGATTTCTGTAACAAAGAGAAAAGATAATTTTAATAACAAGGATTCATTTTCAAAGCCATGTTTATAATGGAAAATTGAATATCATTACTGGTTGTATAATGGTAGCTTTTCAAAATCCAAGGGAAAGAAGCACAGCTACTGTGGCAAATCCTGTATTCATCAAATCTGTGTACTCTTAACACTGCTGAAATTTTGATACTTTGTTTTGGGAGTACATCATACAATACATGCAGAAAAAAATAAAGCAAGCTTGCCTAGGTAGGCAATTTTCTCATTGTGAGTGTATGATTTAACTGTGTTAACATTATTTTAATTAGTGGATTTGATTTTGCTAGCTGTGTTGGATATATGATAACCGACCCAAACAGTCAATAGCTTCATTTTGCTAGTAATTAACATATTTAGAGAAATGAATTCTTACCACTAGAAAAAAAATACACAAGCCTCTCTACATTCCTCTTCACTCTCAAAGCGATTTGCATTTCCGTCACAGCCACCATACCAAAACTGAGCACAAGCATTGGCCTGTTTATCATAGTACCATTTTATGATATAAATACGGCATGGCCCTTGATCCAGTCTCAACTTGCATCGGGGGTCTGGTATATTTTCTTTAAAAAAGAAAGAAGAAAGAAACAATTCTGTATGTAAAAATCAATTGCATTGCATAAGAATTTACCTATAAATTCTCTTTTTTTTCTTGCTAGTGTTATACAATAGTTTGAGATTTACTTTACATTTGTAAAGATGTTAGAGCTGAAGACAATTTAAAAGTTCACCTTAGCTCATGAAGTTAAAATGTTCCTTTATTGGCACTGTTTTATTAACTTGAGAAATAATAGTATTGTAGCTCCATATGAAATAGTTGCAAGCAGTCTGGTAACTTTGAAAATAATTATCAGCAATCATTCTTGCGAACAACCAAAAAACCTGTAAACTAAAGAACTGTGAATTGGTTGCATCTGCTGTTTTCGTATAGCTTAAGTTATGGCCATCATCCTCCTGCAGTACATCACTTCAACTTTGATACTACTTATTTTGTGCGGTTTTTTTATGTGCTTTCTCTGTGGCAGCAGAGGCATTAGAATAGTGATAAGAATATATATCTTCACTCTCTTTTTGCAAGTTGTGCAGCATATATAATCAAATGGTAGTAATTATGCATATACCAGTTAAATTTGAACATGAAGCTTGATGGTCTAATGATTGTTCCTTCCTGCAGCTGTGCACTAAAGGACCACGGTATGTTCATTTATTTTAATAATACCATGAGATAAAAGATATTTTTTCATTTTAAGTTTGATATTTTGACATTGATATTCTGCAATGGCATTGACAACAGTTATCTTGAAACTTACAAAAATAATAAATAAAAAAAATAATTGCAGGAGGCACAATATTAGGCCTCTCCACGTCCCCAGGAAAGATGCTTTCTTCTCTTGCTCTTGTCATAGTATACTATTATTTGAACTCAGATGTGCGAATTTCCTAAATGACTGAAATAATACTTTCTGACATTTTATATGAAAAGAAACATAGTTTTTCCTATTTCTGTTTGAAAGAGAATTGAAGGAGAAGCTTTTTTTTTTTTTTTCCCTGATTCTGAAAGTTTTAAAATCGTTCTTTATCTTATCTCTGTTTATAAAGCCTCTCATCTGCATAGGCTGATGCTTTCTGTCTTTCCAATGAATGCTGGAAGATAATCCCCATCTTGCTGGTCAGTCTCAGCTGGTACCGTGCTGCTTTTTTTGGTACCATTTATGAGTTCTGTCTTGGATTATATTTGACCTTAGTTCTGGATTTGGAATTTGGAGAGACACGAACTGCAACTAGATCTGCTATAAAATCCTAAAATGGCTTCTCTTCCACAACATGGACTCTCATAATCTTCAGAGAGTATGTAGGCCTAACAGAGTGAGTCTGATTTCAAATCTTATTAAATGTTAGCATTAAGATAAGAGGAAACAAAATGTAAAGTCAGTTAGATACATAACCTGGTCTTGGCGCGAGCCCTGTAGTTGAAAGAGGTGTTGTCAGCACTGTATCTGCTAGTGATGGTTTAGATGGCAATGATGATACAGCAGCTGCACGTGAAAAGAAACAGAGGACGTTTTTGATCCGCCAAAAAGAATGAGGAGGTGAAGAAATGAATCGTAATAAAAGTACCTTTGGTGTCCACTGATTGCAAGAATGACTGTTGTTCCTCCTCTTCTTCATATACTTCATAAACTGCCATAGGAGGTAGCTTGGTCTGAAATGAGCATTTAATTTTCTTTGCTTTTGAAATACTGTAGTGTCTTAAAATGAACTAGCTCTTCACCAATTAGAGGTGCTCTAATGCTTTTCCTTCCCATTTTCTCTGACTTCCATTTAGGGATCAGGACTTTTAGCAGGTTAGTTTACTAGGAGGGTTTGCAATCCTAAGCCTGGGATATTGTTTGAGTTGACTTTTATAGCATTTTATTCTATAAACTGAAAAATGTGTACATTTGAGTTTAAAACCTATTTTTAAAGTTAAGTATTACAGAATAATTGCACTTCAGCTAAGGTTTGTGTTCATATTGTGGCAAAAACATTATTGCATTAAACACAACAGTAATAATCCTTGTAACAGCATCAGGAATTAATCGTAATAATTAGATAACTGCCTGCATACAGCATCAGAACTCTTATTTAGAATTCTCAGCTCCAGTAAACCAAGTTAAAGGAGCTATTTTAGTACCAGACCTGTAGAAAAGTAGAGGAAGAGTTGCATGTTACATCAAGCAACAGAAGGAAATACAGGAAGGAAGTACTGCTGAATTTTTATACCGGAGCTAATGATTGAGGAAGACTGCCAATACTCAGAGGGATTTCTACAGTAGATACTCCAGATCTTTTTGCTGAAAGGGATTTTTCTTTAGCATTGTTGTTCTGAAGTAAGTAATGTGAAAATCTTGAAGACGTTGAATGGCCAGGTGGTCCATTTAGGCTTACACCATTTCCATTAGGGTTATATATTAAGGCACCATGTTCATCTTCACAAAACTGGTTGACTAATTTAGACTCCAGAGCTGTTTAAAAAAAACAACAACAACAAAGACCTTGGAAGTTCAATGGGTTTTTCTGAATTTGGATTATTTATACATGTAAATAATACACATGCAATCCAAAGCACATTTAGATTATTTATACACATCCAAAATGTGCATAAATAATACCAGTAATTTCAGGCTGTCTGGATTATGGCTTTTACTTATGACAAACTTGCTAGCCCATATAACCTATGTATGGTACAAAATGTGTGGTACTCATCTGAGAGTATTGTCTGAGTTTCCATGTCTCACCAAAGAATATCAGTCAGTAGATGATAGTAGAAAAACAATTGTTTACCTATCTCAAGTGAATAATTCAATGAAATATTTCCCAGTGGAAGTGAGTAAATACACTTTATCTCAGTGGGCTTGATTCTGGCTTTTTAGTCCAATTGTTTTACAATGCTTGAGCACTTGCTCAAATAGGAAGTTATTTTAAATGACTGTGTGCAAATTCCTATTTTGCAGTGACATCCCCCATTGGTGTGATGTCTCTTTGGCCTATACCACAATTCCTTAAGAGAAGGGAGGCTGCATTTCGGGTCCTGTTGCATCACACCTCTTAACTAATCTTCCTCATCACCAAAACCCAATTTCTAGAGAAGCGATTCATCTTTTTCTCTGTTCTGAGGAACACTGAATACAATGCAGAATTCATCTGAGATCTTTTCCATCATATGAAAAGCAAGACATTCTTAGATGGATGAGTTCAGCTAGCTGGGTGGAGTTTAGAAGTATTTACAGAGAATTAAGCTGTGATGAACCCACCTGGAAGGGTATTGAAGTCATCAATGAGATACATATGCTCTCTGTCTGGATCGGAAGCAATCAGGTTTAGCTCGCGCACGAATTCAACCTGTGTTGGATCTGAAGTATTTACAATTCCTATTGCATACATTTCAATGTTTGCTGCATGAGCCTCTCGAACCGCAACATCTAGTTTTACAGCTTCTCTCTTGTCTGCTTGGCCATCTGTTAGTACAATAGCTACTTTTCGCACACCCGTACGAGCACCAAAAAATCCTTCCTGGGTTGCTTTGCGGATAGCAGTTGCTGTGTAAGTGCCCTCTCCTATATATTGCATTTTTCTGATTGCTTGTTTCACATCTTGTTGAGTTGTATACTTGTTCAGATCAAATTCTAGCCTAACTTCTAAACTGTATAGTACAAGGCCGATTCTGGTAGCATTTCTACCTACAGTAACCCTGTCTACTAAAGCAGTAACAAAGTCTTTGATAATCTCAAAATTTTCTGGTCCCACACTCTCAGAGCTGTCAATCACAAACACCAGCTCCATAGGAATTTCCTTACATTTAATTCCACAACCTGCAAAGGAAAAATAAAAAACAAATCATGATGACTTAGTATTGTTTTAGAAGGGAGAAGAATGTAAATGGAGGAAAATAGAATCTGAAATTAGTTTCACGAATACTTGCCACATATCTCTCTGATTAATTTAATTATGTCTTCTCTCTAGATAAGAAAAAAATCAAAATATTCAAAATTTGTCTTTTTCCAGTGATGTATAACATTGATGCTATCAGATATTTCAATTATAACGAATATCACTTATAAAGAACTTTTGTCTTTAACTTTCAAGCTTGAAGTCCCACTTATATGTTACAATGAATTATTTGATATGGTGTATAAGAGTCAGTAACTTAAGCAAGAGGTAACACTGCTTTCTGAAACAATTAAATACTCTTACTGTAAAGAATGTTTTGCACTGATTTGATTTCATTAAACTTTAGCTTAAAGTCAAAACCTATTCATATTTCAGTATTTAAATAATATTGATTTCCCTCTCCACTTAGGCAAATGCATAAAACCTTTTGGCATTGCTGTTCAATTTCCACCATAAACCTCAGCAGTATTTACGTAGTCACAGACATGCTTTACTAAATTAGGATCTGGTTTAGTTCAGACTTAGGAGAAGTTAGTCCTACAGTGTGGACCATGGAAAAAGTCTGAAGCCTTTGAGCGGTTTCTTTCTGTACTATTTCTCCTACTACTGAGACCATGTCTAATCAGAAAACTCCATAATAATTGACATATGATGCATTTAAACTGATAATATTTTGCATTGTGTTTATATGTTGCTTTAATAGGATTTATAATACGATTTGCTTACTGTTAGACCTTGTTCTCCCTTTGGTCCAGTTTTGCCCTGCAAAAGAGATCATTAATTTAGCCATTGCAATTAGTAACACTGTAGTTCAGAATGTGTCTTCAGTGGTGCCATAATTAAAGTATTTAGCAATTAAGAACTTTTTCTTTAAAACATGGTGTTTATGTGCATATAATTTCTATAGCCTCCTAAGATGATGAGGTGTCTACAGGATGAATTAGATTAGTTCAGGTCTCCCATTGATTCTGTGTTAGAAAGGGAGAATTTGTGCAATTTTTTCCCATCTATTATCCTGTGCAATGGTGTTCATGTATCCTTACTTAATTGTACGCAAATGTCAGAGCAAAAGGGCACCACAGTTTCCTGTCCAGCTTTTTCAAACTTGCCCATCAGCAGAAGTTCCCATTTTGCTGTGTTCATCAGCTTTGAGGCGTCTGAGCCAAGGTTATTTGGTAACTACAGTTAGAATTTGCGTAGTTTTATCTTTAAAATGGTGATTGATTTTCACTACGGAATTGTGGTGCTCATGGAAATATCTTCTTTATACTTTTAAAGCTTTTCATAGTTTCATTTTCTTAAGCATTCCAAGGCATATTACATATACAGCAAAAACACACATTATTGCTAAACTGTTTTAAAAAATGAACATGATAAACTCACAGGTTCTCCAGATAAACCAGGGTCACCCAAGTTGCCTTTTTCTCCTTTTTTGCCCCTTTCACCTGTAGCTCCTCGATCTCCCTTTAAAAACATGTAGGTAGTTGGAGAGAAAGTGTAAGTCAGAGTTACTATTCCCTTCTACCTGTCTCTGTTAAATTCACCTTCAGCTTCTGAGAAAACTTAGAAATCTTTGTTTAGAGACTCTTTAAAAAAATCACTTATTTATGAATTTCATGAATATCTGGTACTACTGATTATGCATTTCTATACAAAAAGTAACTGAAGCAATTTGAACAATGAACCATCACAAGCAGGTTCACGCAGAGAGGGGGGTTTCATGAGATATTGCATGATGGAAGTGAATATCTGTTTGAGAAAAATAAGGTAAGAATAGGGAAATGAGAAGAAAGACAAAGAAATAGTCAGAATGAGTAATGGGAATAGTCATTCTGAGAAACTTTTGGCCAGAAAAGGTGTTGGGAATAGCAAAGAAAGGAATTAGCTTCTGATTTGGGTTCTACAAGGCTAAGGAAATAAGACCTTGTTTACTTTTTGTGTATTGATGTGCTCGTATCCAAAAACTGATTTAAACAGTTATTTCTCCTCCTTTTATCATCAATGTGTGCCCCAAATTTTGCATAACTGCATAGATAAAAGGAAGGCAACAATTTTACATATCTAAATTTCTTTTTTATTGTGGTAGGCAAGCCTCATATGATATTAAGCTATGCAACACTGAAAATGGTGCTACTCTAAAACACTAAATTGATCATGGAAAAGGCTTAGCTTTTCTTAAATTCCATGAACTTTAGTAGAACTGTTTTTTCCCTGTTAGCAGAATTCTTGTGTCTTCGAATGAGCGTCTTTAATATGTTGGCTGGGGTCCCAGATATTATCTCAGATTTAGATATCATACCTTCTGTCCCAAAAGTCCTTCTCCAGGAGGCCCTCGGGGTCCTGGCATTCCTTGAATTCCTTGTTCTCCCTAATGATAATCCATGTAGTGATATTAACCCTTTGTAGTCATTCATTATGGGTTAATTTTAAATGTTTAATGAGAAGGTGTTTCAGACTGCATTTTAACAAGTGTGTGAATCACCTGATACAATGCAACATCTAACTTTACTGTTTTTCTCAAATAATTCAATAGTATGTCTGCTAAAAAGAGAAAAAAACAAAAACGCACAGTCATTGTCTGTTTCATGTGAGAGAGATCTTGTGCTCTCTCTCTCTCCCATCTCGTTTTATCTTTCCTGTTTTTCCATTCTTACTGCTGACTTTTTATTTTCTTCTGATATATGCTTATATAAATGTGCAAAACACAAATGAAAAGGAACATTACACAAGGGGACTCTTTCTCAGAGTCAGCAGTTCAGATAACTAGTTCAAACCATTTCCATTGGGATGACAGGTTGGGAAGAGGGGAAATACTTTTTTTCTTTTGGTTCATTTTGTACGTTTATTTCCTTCACAAAAGATGTTCCAGCTCCCTCCTTCTTTAGTGCACATACATCCTTGGGCTTGTTTACAGCAGTAGAGACAGAACATAATTTGTAGATATTCATGTTATCCTTTTAATTTTTAAACTGCAGGTTCTGTCATATAAGAAAATGAATAACATGAAATCTTTCTTAATTCCTTAATACTGTGAAGTCAGATTGACCACTGAGCACAGATTAAGGACTGAAGATACTGAGTCTTTTTACCTTAATTCCCTGAATACCTTCACCGGGAGGTCCCAGAGATCCAGGTGGCCCTGGGCGACCCATAGTTCCCTGGGGAGAAACTCCGTATAAATAAATATGATTAAACACATGAGAATATATATAATATTTATTAATTACAAAAATACATAACAAATTGTTTTACCACAGTGCAATTTTCTGTCACTTCTCTACTGCATGGATATCCTTCTAGAAGTAGTCACAGAAAGATTGATCTTTGTGACAAAAAAGATTTTTAAGCCTTTATCAGACTAATTAAATCCAGTTTATGCTTCAAAGGAGCCACTGAAGGTTAGTTTTCATTGAGTAAGAATCACCTTGCTAATAGGGATGAACACTGCACTGAAGGATGGATTGTATTGATGGGATATATGGAATCAGCTATGATTTGAGTGGATTATTATTTCCTAAATGGTATGGCATCTTTCATTATCACTAAGCTTCACAGTAAGACCAACGAACTTATGTGGAATTGTAAATTAACAGCATGTGTTAGTTATAAGCTTGCTTTTAAAAGAGCACTAAAAAAGTACTCCAGTTTCATGGTATTCATAGAGAAATAACCCACACTTGCACAGTTCAATATTTATTTAATAGTTACATTGCCATTCAAGTATCCCTACATGAAATTCTTGACTTCCTTATATGTAAGGATCGTATGTAAATGCTATATCCTGAGCCAAGCACAGCCTGAGACATTGCTTAGCCATTGACCTAGCTTTCATGTCAACATGAGTTGAATTTCTGGGACCTACAGGCCACACTATGCAGGGTAATACATTACTATGTTGCAAAATGTTTGCATTTGACCCTGTCTAGCTCTTTTACATTTAGATTCTAAAGCAATACTTCTGTTTTTTATGGGCTTCTAGAGCTGAGCTGTGGGAGGGCAAGAGCTGTATATTTGCTGCTTTTTATAATGAAACATTGCTTTCTGTATTTAATTTTTTTCAGACATTGTTATAATGTATGTTTTGATTATATAAATATTTAAAAGTCACTGTGTTCCTTAGCTATCTTATTTATGGTATTAGCTGTTTCTGGTGAATGGAAAAGATGCCCACACACACATATATAATATAATATATTGTTTTGCTTTTTTATTTAAAAGACAAAGGTAGACATAATTGTTTAAATGGCTTACTTTTGGTCCTGGCAGTCCTTCACCTGGGGCACCTGGGAGACCAATTGGTCCTCTACTGCCTGGATCACCCTGAAAGTTAATACTTAAAAAATAAGTAGTGAATAACAAAGTTTAATTTGTCTCTAGAATTCCTGGTGTCTCCTGTACCCAAATAGGATAAAGAGACAGGAGAAACATTGAAAAGCACAGTGCAACTGCAAACAATGTTAAACCTTGATTACTGAAGGCCAGACAAGGTATTTGGGAAAAACAGTGGCTAGAAATCTGAACATACCTAAGACATGATTTCTAAGGTCATATAACCAGTATTTGCATAAGAATTACAATTTACTTGTTGCAAAATGATCTCCAGTTCCCCAAAGCCAACAAAAGTCTTTTGCTTCCTGCTCATCAGAGTTGATTCAGGCTGTCGCTGTTCAATACCGAATTTTTCTTATCAGTACCTTAAGATGGCCGGGAGTTTGATGAGAGTGGAGAAAAGATAGCAATCCTTTTTAAGGAATGCTGAATATGCTTAAATAGCTTTCCTGTATAAATCTAGTAATCTAGTCAATCTAATAATCGGCATCAAATAAGTTCTGAAGTGAAACTTGAAGATCTTCTGTGTGGTCTAGCTTTATAAATTGATGCGTAAATCAAAATTAGGTTAAAACGGTATTTTTACTGTGACCTTTCAGTAGGAATTACATTTGCATGTAGTAGGGTATACACCCTAGTTTTACATTTACTTTTCTAAAATTTGAGGTTTGTACCTTAGGTCCTGGTAATCCAACTCCATCAGGGCCTTGTTCACCCGGAGTTCCAGGAAGGCCTGGCAAGCCCTGAAATTAAATGCACAGGTAGGCTATTAATTTAATTTAAGGCTATGCTGACTGACCGTTGACTGAATGCATTTGTAAACAATATGGCTAGTATCTTGAATACATTTTCTGTTAGTGGGATCACAGTTGGCACTGGCATGTGGTTGTGTGCCATGCAAGAGACTTTCCTGTGTGTTTCAGGCCAGAGGATCTTGGTGTAGAGAGGCAGGTGCAAAATCAGCCCTGGCATCAGACTGAACATATGTATCAGGAAGTATTACAAATACATCAAATTCCAATTTCTATTTTGACATTCATGAATTTTTATTCCTCAGTGTGATAATTGCATGCACAAATACAGTTGTCTTTAGCATAGATAAGCACTAAATTCACCAAATTTGCCTGACTCAGCAATGTTCTTGGGTCTCTGTCACCTCACAGGTATGACACATAAAAAGTCCCTATAAACTTACAGTTGGACCTGGATAACCATCCCCTTTTGGCCCAAAGGGTCCTGGAGGTCCTGGAAGGCCGCGTTCACCCTGGCAAAGGCAGAAGAAAAGCTGAGGAGAATTCCAGTACAATTGCTGGCAAGGAGTTTTACATGAAAGTTCAATTTCTTTGGGAAGCACATACAGTAAGTTGATTTTCTCTCTCTTATGTATTTTACCTTCTGAATGATTATTGTAATTATTTATCCTAGACTAAAATTGGAATATTGGATAATCAGAAACTCACTTCTAAGACTAATTTGAGTCTTTTTCAGGAATTCTGTCTGTTATCTGTGGTCTGTATATAAGAAGGAATGACTTCAACCCCATTCCCCATATTTTTAATCACCATTATTATCATTACATGTGAGAGATGAACCCATTTTGTCAGGCCGCCAAAAGACTAGCATAGAGACTGAGTTGCTTTGTAGCTGTTTTAGGTAATGTCCATAACTGAAGCATAATGTCCATAAACTGCAGCAGAGCAGTGGACTTGCTTCTGCACATGCCGGAGAAAACTTTTTTTCTAATTTTTTTCCAGTTTATTTTGAGAAACTGTTTTATATGTCATAGGTTTCTTGGTGCTTAGCTAAACATCAACCCAGCAAAAGGTGAACATAGTTAATGATGAGACAATCTTGGAGTAGTACTTAAGGCAAGTCCTTACAAATTAGCTACACTTTCATCATCATCTTTTTCTACTAAAAGGATCTGTTCTCATACTGCTAGTTTACCCATGTCCTGATTCTTCCTGGAGTCTGTGTAATGCAGGCTCTTTTTACTCTGCCAACATTATATGACATATGTAATAAGAATAATTGAATACTTTGCCATCGTAAGTAATTTCCTGTTTTTTTCATTGAAATCCTGCCTTCTTCAGTCTGAAATGAGTTTATCATTTTATGAGTTACCTTTGCCCCAGGAAGCCCAAACCCTGGTTCTCCAACTGGCCCAGCAAGACCAGGCAATCCAATATCACCCTGCAGTGGAGAAAATGTAATGCTTACTGTTGTATTTTGTTAGAAACCAAGCAGTGGTTTTTTTTAGAGTTTAAAAAATAAATAAATAAGTACATAAACATGAAAAGCAGAAGACAGGAATCGTTTTGATACAGAAAGATATCCAAAAAATTGATATATCAGGTAAACCACACCTCAAGCCAGCAATTAGTACTGGAGCATTATAGTAACTAGCCTGGGTACGTTCTGCTCATAGGAAAAAAAGCTTTAGATAACCTCATATGGCTGACACAATTGGCACTTTCTATTAATAGCATGGCCGACTTCATAGATTTCATGCTGTGTTTATGAACCCAAGGAATTGGAGTGTGGGTGTTACCTTTGGTCCAGGCACAGCTCTTCCGGGAGGGCCTGGCATTCCAAAACGTCCTGGCACACCAGGCTCTCCCTGCAGTGAAGGAGCAAGAGCAAAAACAATGGAGTTTTTTCTTTGAGTGGACAAACACATCTTTTGAAGAAAACATGTGTGGAACAATTTATAATATTTCATTAAGAGTCTATTATAATTCTTATTATTCTAATAATACTGTATCTTGAATAAAATCTAACTATTACAACTGAAATGCTGACTATCATAATTCTGATATATCAATACAAATGGCATTCTTCTCAGCCACTGAATAAATATATGTTATTGGAAACCCTCTTCTTAGTCTACCATGTCCAGCACTCAAGAGTTTCAGTCCTGTTTTCTAGGTATACTAGAAATATAATATTCTAAGTATGCTAGAAAATACATGGAAATCATGTATTTTTCCATTAGAATAGATTTTTTAAAATACTATTTTAAGTATATTTTTGTAATTCTTTTTCTTTTAGCCCATTCTTCTGTGTATAAATAGCAAAAGACTGCATAAGAAGTCAGAGGATGGACCTGGAGTAGTAGTTCTCTTATTTACAGTAGCTGTTTGTATAGAAACTTTTAAGTCCATAAAAGAATACCACTCATAAGCTAGTTCAAGGAAAATAAAGTCTTGTAACGTATGTATATTCCAGGCATCATGCTGTTTTACCAAATATTTTAGCATAAAAGTACAAATATTAGTGTCCCTTAATTTCAAAAATATATGTTGATCTCTTAGCAAGATGCACCATAGACCCACATAAACATCTAGAAACACTTTTTAAAACTTCAAAATTCACTATCTTGCTTCCCCTTTAGCTTTTAAAATAAATATTTTTCTAAGAAGCACATTCATACTAGGTTAGTTGTTTTTGAGATCTAGAATAAAGAATTTTGACGTCAAGGGGCTATTTTGC